GGATGGCAGCCTGCGGCAAGTGCAGCCGGGCTGATGGCCGAGTGCTGTGATGTGCCGAGTGTGGGCACTCAGGGCACTCCAAGCCAGGACTGTTTTGCAAGCGGGGAACCCCTGAGAACTGTCTGTCCGGGGTGGGGGTCGGGACCCTTTAAGCACAGCCCTTGGCTAGCCTGAGACAGCATCTCCACACTCTAAGTCCTAACCTGATGCCCTGCCGGCACTGCTTCTGGCCATCCTTAACCTCAGTTCAGGGGCCACTCACTGTGGACATGCTAGTTCGAATTAGCAAAATGCTAATTCGAACTAGTTTTTAAGTCGAGATGCGCTAATTCGAACTAAGTTAGTTCGAATTAGTGCTGTAGTGTAGACATACCCTCAGTCTCTCCTCATAGGTCATACACTTCATTTTGACCGTAATCATTTTGGTCACCCTCCACTGAACTCTCTCCATTGCATCCACATCCTTTATATAGTGAGGGGCCCAGAACTGGTCACAATACTCTGGGGCTACGTCTAGACTGGCATGATTTTCCGGAAATGCTTTTAACGGAAAAGTTTTCTGTTAAAAGCATTTTTGGAAAAGAGCATCTAGATTAGCATGGACGCTTTTCTGCAAAAGCACTTTTTGTGGAAAAGCATCCGTGGCCAATCTAGACGCGCTTTTCCGCACGGTATTTCGGAAAAGCGTCCGGCCACAATTATGCAAATGAAGCACAGGAAATTCAAATCCACGCTTCATTTTCAATTTCGTTTGTCTGCATTTGCATTCCTCTCTCGAAGGAGGAATGCAATGTAGACATACCCTCAGTCTCTCCTCATAGGTCATGTGCTCCAGCCCCGTAAGCATTTGGGTTGCCCTCCGAGGAACCCTTTCCAATGTGTTCTCATCTTTTCTGTAGTAGGGGGCCCAGAACTAAATGCAATACTCCAGATGTGGCCTCAGCAGTGCTGAAGAAAGGGGAAACATCATTGTTGTAGATCTGCTGGAATTGCTCCTGCTCATGCACTCTAACATTCCATTAGCCTTCTTTAGCTACAAGGACACACTTTGACTCATATCCAGCTTTTCATCCACTGTAATCCCCAGGTCCTTTTCTGCAGAACTGCTACTTAGCCAGTCGGCCCACATCTTGAAACAATGCTTGGAATTCTTCCATCCCAAGTGCATGACTCTACACTTGTCCTTGCTGAACCTCATCAGATTTCTTTTGGCTCAATCCTTTAATCTGTTCTGGTCACTCTGGACCCTATTCCTGCCTTCCAGAGTATCTACTTCTGCCCCTAGCTTAGTGTCATCTGCAAACTTGCGGAGGGTGCAATCCATCCCTTCATCCAGGTCATTAATAAAAATGTTGAACAAAACCGGTTCTAGAACAGATCCTTGGGGTACTCTGTTAGAAACCAGCCAAGCTGACATTGAGCTGTTGATCACTACATGTTGGGCCTGACAGTCTAGCCTCCTTTCTATCCATCTTACAGTTCATTTATCCAATCCATGCTCCCTTACCTTGCTGGCAAGAATATTGGGGGAGACCATATCAAAAGCTTTGCTAAAGTCAAGGTATATCACATCTACTGACACTGTCCACAGAGTCAGTTACGTCATCATAAAAGCTAATCAGATTGGTCAGGCATGACTTGCCCTTTGTGAATCCATGTTGACTATTCCTGATCACTTTCCCCTCGTCCAAGTGTCTCAAAATGGTTTCTTTGAGGATCATGATTTTATGATTTTTCCAGGGACAGAGATAAGGCTGACTGGTCTGTATCTCCCTGGATTGTCCTTCTTCCCTTTTTAAAAGATGAGCACTACATTTGCCTTTTTCCAAACATCCGGGATCTCTCCCGATCTCCACAGGTATTCAAAGATAATGGCTAAAGGCTCTGCAATGACATTTGCCAACTCCCTTATTATCCTCAGATGCATTAAATCCGGACCCATGGATCTGTGTATGTTTAGATTTTCTAAATAGTTTCTAACTTGTTCCTTCCCCACCATAAAGATATATATTGTTTACTAGAAGACTTACCTGATGTTGCCCAGTTCCTTCAGGGTAGAGGCCTAGTGGTGCGGGGGATGCAGGAGTCAGGGCAGGACCTTGGAAATATGGGGGCTTGTGAAGGGGTGATCCCTACAAAATGTCCAGTCCCCCTTTCCCTTTTTATCCCGAACTCCAAAGCCATCCTTTCCGGTCAAGTAACTTGTAAGGCTTATGGTCCAAATGTTCACCCCGGGGCGGGGCGTGAGCGGGGCCTGGCCCACCCTCTCTCCAGGCCCCAACCCAAGGCCCTATGCTGGGGGATGTCCACTCTCCCCCACCTGGCTGATGGGCTGAGTGTCTCAACTCATCAGCCCGCAGGCGAGGCCCCTCTCCCGTCTGCCTTCCGTTCCTCCTCTGGTCGGGGTGGTCTGCCCTCTTTTGTAGACCACCCACCATCCCCTCTCCGGTCCTCCTGCGCCTGCACCAGCCTCTGCTGTGTTTGCTCCGCCGCCTCCTTCGCAGGCCTTCCCCGACCTGCTCTCCAGTGCGCCTGTGCTGGCGTCCCCCGGGTTCCCTTCTGAGATGCCCGTACTAGCGCCCTCCCTGCTGGGCGTTCCTCCCCTGCCCCCACAGGTCTCTCCCGACCTGTCTCTTACTGCACATGCACCTGTGCTCCTGGGATTTGCATCGGGGGCGCCTGCACTAGCGTCCATTGCCTTGCCATCAGCCCGGCATGTTCCGGCCACCGCTACGGCTTCCTCTGCCAGAGGGGAGGACAGACAGTTGCCC